ATTGGGACAGCTCTGTGTCCTAGACTTATTTCTGGACTGGATGGCCTCTGAGATCATAGTAAGTCTAGTCCTCCATCCTGAGATGGTGATACATCTAATCTTGCATGCCAGTGAGCTCTGGCTGAACTGTTCGTGGTCTCTGAGACCAGCCTTCCCATTTTGGTCTAGTCCTCCATCCTGAGATGGTGATACATCTAATCTTGCATTCATGTGCACACTGAACTGTTCGTGATCTCTGAGACCAGCCTTCCCATTTTGGTCCCACAGGGGAGTCAGTTTTGGTGAGACAGCAGCTGCTGACGCTGCCGTTGGCTACATCATGGCCTTCCTGGTACTACTGTCCACAGTGAAGCTCTGGCATCTGCTCAGGTTGAATCCCAAAATGAACATGATCACATCAGCCCTACGCCGTGCCTGGGGTGACATTTCAGGCTTTGTCATTGTCATCCTTATCATGCTCCTGGCTTACTCCATCGCAGTGAGTGGCTCCTTTAGGAAAACCTTGGGACTGGTCTCCATGGAAGCCAAGGCTACTTGGTGGTGGGGAGTGGATAGTTAGCACTAGGGAGACCCTGGAAACCTGAGAGAGATAGGGGCTTTTCCAAATCTGGTGTCTTATCTGGGAACTCACACAACAGCCACCTTGAACAGCAAGGCTGGAACTTCAGGTGGGTAGGAGTGCAGAGACAAAAGTTCTAGAACCAAAAGGGCCTGACTCCTGCCACGAAGAATTCCTCTCTGCACCTAGACCCTGCCTGGATGTGCCAGTCCTCCTGACTTCTCAACTGGTCAGAAGGCACAGGTTCATTTCCAGATAGGCATAGAGCACGGCCACAGTGTTGGGGGAGGAATTGGGTCACCTTGTCCTCAAGCTGGGGCAGGATGGGCCAGTGAGGGTGGATATGTCCACAGGCCACATCGAGGCTTGTTGCCCAACACATAACCCATGACACTTACGAGGGCCAGTGCTGTTTCATTCAGCCCTTAACACTGACAGCATTTTGACAATCATATCTCCTTTGTGACCGAAAAAAATCCAAAACATTAAACTTTCAACTCTTTTTATTGCCCTCTCCCATCTTGGCATCCCTCCCATCCTGCTCTCCATTTAAATCTACTGCCCCAAGCCCACACTTCCTGCCATAACTCTGGCCTCAAACCCAGCCCTGTCCAGTCCCATGGCTCCTGCTATTCTGCTAGGCCCCATTCCCAGCCCTTCTGCATCTCTGTCTCTGCAGCCCTGGCCTCTTCCATCCCCAGCCCACTCTATCTTCTTCACCCACCCTCAGGAACACCCACCTGGGGTGTGGGAATGGAGTGATGCAGAGGTGTGTGCAGAAGTTGGGGTCTGTGGTTTGGTTAAAATACCCCCTCCATGGGCCCTGCTCTGTATGGATTCATTCAGGCCTATCTGCAGTACATGGGCTACAGGGACACTGCAGTGTCCTCTGGGACTAGAAGTCACCAACTCAGAGCCAAGAGGTGATGGACCTCCTTCTGACACCGCAGTTCTGGGAAAGTCTCAGGGGAGGAGTCTTGTGGGGAACCCCAATGTCCCTCCAGCCCAACTGCACTGAGCAAAGAGGACCCTGAAAGTCCAGTTTCATTACAAGTCACTGAGAAGCCATCATGGGAACACGGCAGTAGCTTAGCAGGTGGCTGTCTGAGCACTTTCTTGTGCTTGCAGCTGCAAACATGGATGTCACCAACAGACCAGGCACACAGCAAACGTCCTGGATGAAGTATCTGGGTAGGCACTTCCATAGTACTGCACACACGTGCACACACGTGAATACATATGCACACAAATGCACGTACACACACATGCACGTATGTGGATTCCGATGCCAGCAGAGTACATGCACACATGCACATCAGCACACGAGTGTGGCCTTGCACATGCTTCCATAGGGACTGGCTGCATGCCACACCCACTCACAGGTAGGGACGGTTTGTCAGGCCAGGTAAAGAGGTGGCTGACACCGCTGACCCAGCAGGCTTTGGGGGAGGGGGAGCTTTCACAGCTTTTTCCTGATTCATGAAGACTCTTTCCACAACAGTCGAACTTGATATTTGGTTGGAAACTCCGTTCTTACAAAACCCTCTTTGACGCAGCAGAAACCATGATCAGCCTTCAACTAGGAGTCTTCAACTACGAGGAGGTAATGGGCTGGGGGCTGGGACCGTGGCCTGGGCCCCTAACTCTAGGCAGCAGTCCCATGCTAGAACCCACAGTTGGCCCCAGGCTCACAGATGCCTTTACTCTCAGTCCCCTGGGCACAGGGATCTGCCAACCCCAGGCTCTGCCAACTGGAGATCCAGTTGGGGGAGGTGGCTGTAAGGACACAGGACTCCAGGATGGCCCTGGCTTTCTTCTTGACAGGTCTTGGCTTACAGCCCAGTGCTTGGCTCCTTCCTCATTGGGTCCTGCATCGTTTTTATGACGTTTGTGGTGCTGAATCTCTTTATCTCTGTCATCCTGGTGGCTTTCAGTGAGGAGCAAAAATGCCCTCAGGTGAGTCCCTCTGGCTGTTCTTCCTTAGCCAATGACCTTGAATGATGAAGAGCCTGGCGTCAAACTTTAGGGGGAGTTAACCTTGCAGCTAAAGCCCTCATTTCACAGGAGGGGAAACTGAGGCAGTGAAGGAGGAAACTGCTTCCCCCAAGATCACAAACAAGTAAGATGCAGTGCTGGACCGGCACCTGATTCCCAGTTTGAGACTCTGTTCACTACCCCAGTGATTCTCAGCCCTGTTTGCACATTAGAATCACCTGGGGCCTTTTGGAAACCAGCTCTGCCCCACCTGAGACCCATACAAAAAGAATCTCTGCAGGAATGGTCCAGGTGTGGGTAGTTCTAAAATATCCCCAGGTGATTTTAACATACAGTCAAGGTCAAGAGGCCTGGTGCGATGCTCTGAAACCTCAGCCCTGGTCGGTTTGGCTCAGACAGCAGCAATCTGGGCACTCATTGGTTTGCACCCATGGAAGACGGTGCCACCTCGCCCCTGCAGGAAGAGGGAAATGCCAACTTGACTGTGGGTCAATGGCAATCACTGGCACCACTTACAGAATGCCGTCTTCACATGGGGGTTACGTTAAAGGCTTCACACGTGTTATTTAACTCCCCAAACAAGGCTGGGCGGATGGTGGCTCGCACCTGTAATCCTAGCACTCTGGGAGGCCAACATGGTGCTACAAGTGGAATACTCCATACATAAGTACTTCACACAGACTTTGTTTCATCTTTTTGAAACAAAGTTTCACCCTTTCACCCTGGGTAGAGTGCGGTGGCATCATAGTTCACATCAACCTCAAACTTTTGGGCTCAAGAGATCCTTCTGATTCAGCCTACCAAATAGCAGAGACTATAAGTGCCCACCATAATGCCCAGCTAGTTTTTCTATTTTTAGTAAAGATGGGGTCTCACTCTTGCTCAGGCTGGCCTCAAACTCCTGAACTCAAGGTATTCACCCTCCTTGGCCTCCCCAGAGTGCTAGGATTACAGGCATGAGCCATCACACACGGGTCATGCACAAAATTATTACAAAAATATTTCAAAATAGGATTGTTATAATTGCAGCACTGTACTTTCAGCCCAGACAACAGACAGAAACTTTGTCTCTAAAAATAACAAAAACAAGTAGGATACAGTAACTCCCGCCTGTAATCCTAGCACTCTAGGAGGTGGAGGCTGGTGGATTGCTTGAGCTCAGGAGTTCAAAACCAGCCTGAGCAAGAGTGAGATTTCTGTCTCTTAAAAAAAAAAAAAAAAGAAAAAGAAAAAATAGCCAGGTATTGTGGCAGGCACCTATAGTCCTAGCTACTTGGGAGCCAGCGGCAAGAGGATCACTTGAAAGGCCCTGAGTCTAAGGTTGCTATGAGCTATGATGCCACAGCACTGTACTCAGGCTGACAAAGTGAGACTTTGTCTTGTAAATAAATAAATAGATAAAAAATGAAAAACTAGCCAGGTGTTGTGATGGGCACCTGTAATCCCAGCTACTTGGGAGGCTGAGGCAAGGAGATCACTTGAGCCTGAGAGTTTGAGGTTACTGTGAGCTATGATACCACAGCACAGCACTCTACTGAGGGCAACAAAGTAAGACTCTGTCCTTTCCCCACCCACAAAAAAGAAGATATAATTCACAAGCTATAAAATTAGCCACTTTATTTATTTATTTATTGAGACAGAGTCTCACTTTAACACTTTTGGTAGAGTGCCGTGGCATCTAGCTCACAGCAACCTCAAACTCTTGGGTTTAAGTGATCCTCTTGCCTCAGCCTCCTAAGTAGCTGGAACTACAGGCACCTGTCACCATGCCTGGCTATTTTTAGAGATGAGGTCTTGGTCTGGCTCAGGTTGGTCCTGAACCTGTAAGCTTGGGCGATCTACCTGCCCCGGCCTCCCAGAGTGCTGGGATTACAGGCATGAGCCACTGTGCGCCACCCTGTACGTACATTATTAACCTCTCCACTGGGGATGGTAGTGCCCATTTTCTAACCAGTTTACTTAAAGTGACATGTTGGTACCAACCGTCTTTTTGGGCACTCCGCCATTCCTGTTTCCTGGAAATCGTTTATTGTTTGCTTCACATCAATCTATATCTTTCTATCTATGGTTGAGAGGGTGGGAAAGCTGGAGAGGAATAACTGTTTAGTTTAAAATTTGAATTTCCCGGGGGAGGGGTAAGTAGGCCCAGAAGAAACAGACGGAATAACAATAAAGAGCAGGATGACACTGGGGATCTGACATAGAGGGAAATGGGTGGCAGTCAGCTCCAAAGGGGGCCCCCATGCTGTCAGTGCTGCTTACACCCAGGTTCAGAAGCCCAGCCATGGCTCTGGGAATTTAAGAAACCCTGAAAACGCAACACGGCCTCGGCAGAAGGGAGGAGGGAGCCCACTGAGGATAAAGGCGGAAGCACATGGCCTTGGGACTCCCAGAGGAGACCGTCCCAACCCCAAACGGCTGTGAATTGTGGCGTGACCTTTAGGCTGGGACTGAATTGAACAAACAAACCATCCTTTCCCCTTAGAAAGAAAACGCCCCAGAGAGGGTGGTTCTCCATACATCACTTGGTTCTTTCTCTGTTATAGCTGTCGGAGGAAGGGGAGATTGCGGACTTGCTGCTGATGAAAATACTCAGTCTCCTGGGCATTAAAAGTAGAAGACAGGACCCTCAAAGCAGCAGTGAGCAACCCAACTTGCTGTCTGAGGCTCAGCCCCCTCAACCAGCATGAGCGATGCCCAGAGTCTAAGCTGTCTGTCCACACACCACCCTCCATGGAGGGGCAAGGCCAGTGCCCCCGGCCTGCACGCACCAATAACTCTGTAGTCTCTCCAGTCCATTGTATCTTGTGCCTGCAGAAGAGTTACCAAGCCCAGCAAGTTAAAAAATTAGAATAATATGTAGAATTGCCAATACCATGAGAACCTGTTTGTTCAAATGTATTTTCTCCTAGAAATAAAAATAAAACAAATATTGTATGGAGTTTGGCAAAAAACTCTCGGCAGACTAATTGTTTCATTCTTTTGGTTGGTCAGGGGCTGCCTTTATTTTTTATTTTTATATTTTTGAGAAAGAGCCTCACTCTGTCACCCTGGGTACAGTACTATGGCATCATAGCTCACAGCAACCTCAAACTCTTGGGGTCAAGTGATCTTCTTGCCTCAGCGTCCTGAATAGCTGGGACTACAGACACTCACCACAATGCCCGGTTAGTTTTTTTCTATTTTTAGTAGAGGCAGGGTCTCACTCTTGCTCAGGCTAGTCTCAAACTCCTGAGCTCAGGCACTCCACCTGCTTTGGCCTCCCAGAGTGCTAAGATTATAGGCATGAGCTTCCATGCCTGGCCAGGGACTGCCTTTAAGGATTCTAAATCAGGGCTTCTCAAACTATGTCCAAGAGATGCTAATGGGTGGTATATCAAGAACTGGGTGCCTTAAAACAACAGAAATTTGTTCTCTCCCAGTTCTGGTGCCTGGAGTCTGAAATTATGATGTTGGGAGGGCCATGCTCCCTGGAAGGGCTCTAGGGAAGTCCTTCTTGCCTCTTCCAGCAAGCCTGGGCATTCCTGGCTTGTGGATGCATCCCCCATCAGGACCATTCTCCTCTCCATCTCTTCTTATCAGGAGATAAGGGATTAGGGGCCCATCCCACCCTGCCTCATCTTGACTGATGACATCTGTAAGAACTCTATTTCCCAATGTGGTCACATTCTGGAGTACTGGGGCTTAGGACTTTGCTATATCTCTTTAGGAGACACAATTCAATCCATAACAGGTGTCATCCCCCTAAAAAGGTTTCTGGATAAAAAAAAAAATTGTGGGGAATATTGGGTTATAAAAGGTTACACAGGTTCTTCAGCATAAAAATGTCAGCGATGTTAAAGTGCTCAGTGTGTACCGCAGCATCTCCCTGAGCAGGAGAGATGAAGTGTGTAATGATTCCCAAACAAGGTGTTGGGTACTAAAGCACCTCACTCAGGGCTAGGGTTCCTTAGAAGATACTTGGCTTACTTGAGGTTAGCTGGGCAACAAACACAAAAAATAGAAGTATTAGCCAGGTGTGGTAATGCATGCTTGTAGTTCCAGCTACTCAGGAGGCTGAGGCAGGTGGGTAGGGAGGTCTATTTGCTTGAACCCAGGAGTTGGAGGCTGTAGTGAGCAATGAGCACATCACTGCACTCCAGCCTGGGTGACAGACGAAGTGTGAGCCCCGCCCCTCACCAACACCACCAAAGAAAGAGACATAGAAATGGGCTGTCATGTTGCTGGAAACTGCTTGTAACTTTGACAGCTACTTGAGACTGCAAAGGAACCATCTGAAGATGGCAGAACAGAAAGAGAAAAGGCACTTGGCTGTTTGGCTGTTTAATGAGGTCTTTAAACAGCTGACACTGGTGGCACATGCCCGTGATCCCAGCACTCTGGGAGGCCGAGGAGATCGGACTGCCTGAGCTCAGGAGTTCGAGACCAGCCTGCAGCCCTGGTCCAGTCTCCACCAGGAAGCCACTGCTGACCTTTGGATAAGTCCTTTCCCTTCTATAAGCTTGATTCTGTCTGTTCCTTTCGTAAAGAAATAAAGTGGGCTCCTGGGCTGTTTCCAGTATTTCAAAAAGTCAGAAGAACTGCATGTATCAGCGTGACTTTAGCAATGCCTCAACCCTCTGTGGCCGGGGTAATTCTGGTTGGACTTGGCTATGAATCCGGCTCTGGGTGACCTTGACTCTCTGCAAGGACTGGGGGTGCCTTGCCCTCACCATCACCCCACGGCTCAGTGACACGAGAATGTGCTGGCCCAGCAAAGCTACCCTGCCTGAAGCCATTCTCCCAGAGCTGGTGACAACCAGCCCTAGGCGTAGCCTGCGGGCCAGGAGGACCCCCAGGGCTGCTGACCAGGCACTTTCACGCGCCGAGAACCTGCGCCTGGGGCAAGGCCCCGCCCCCGGAGGTCACGCCCCCTTCTCCCAGCGGCCCGTAGCGCTAGTTCCCGCCCCCCAGTGCTCCTCATCCGGGCCTCAGGATTCCAGATGTCCACGCCCCCCTCGCTCGTCGCCCTATCCGATCTCGCGCTAGTCCCGGAGGCCTGGCCGCCCGAGCGCTGCCCAATCAGATTTTCCCCCGCCCCCACCGCCGCTAGGGTTCTACCCCTCGGCCTCGCCCCGCCCTTCCGATACGGGTGGCCGGGGCGGGTCGCGGCGACCCTCGGTGCCCCTGCGAACATGGCGCTGCAAGTGGCGCGGACCCTGCGGGCTATGGCCTGCAGCCTGCGCTCGGCCTCCGCGCCCGCCTCGCCCTGCCCGCCGTGGTCCTGGCGGCTGGGAGCGGGCGCCGTCCGGACGTTGCGCACGGGACCCGCTCTGCTCGCAGGTAAGCACAGCGGGCACGTGGGCTAGCCGGGCCCCTCCCTCGCGCCCGGGCAGTCTATGCCGGGGCAGAGCTGGACGTGAAGAGGGTCGGGCTCCCACTCCTGAGCCAAACGGTGCAGAGCCAGCGGGATCCCTAGTTGCGCGGCCGCTTGTCTCTCTTGAGTAGGTGTGAGGAGATACGAGCCGCCTTTGTACTGTGGGCTTAAGTGAGCAGGAGGGGAGGCCTATAGGACCCCGGCGGTGGTGTGCGGGCTCGTCCCCGCGGGGAAGCCGGCCGCTGGCGCTGGAGAAGGCCGGCATCGCCAAGTTTCTCAGTGACCTCAAGTTATCTTGCATTTGGGTGCATCCTGAGACCCTAAGTGTGCAGGTCTTTAGTTTACTAAATGGACCGCCACTAAAAACACCGAAGTAAAATTGAAGAAGCACTTATTAAAATTAACTAGAACACTGGGTCTAGATTTTTACTAGTTAAAACAAGCATAACATTGAGGACTCAACCAAAGTCTTCTGGACTCTGCTACAGAAAGTTCTTAAAGCCTATACTGAGTCATTCGTCTGTGTTAGAGCCGAAGTGACTCTGACTTAAATGGACTTGAAATAACTGGTCGACCTGCCCATAAATGTCTTGGCTATTTGTATTACTTTGACACAATTAGTGCCGCAGGAAAAGCAATTTTCTTTATGTGCAAATACATGAGACCTAAAATGCTTCTTCTAAGAACTCAGGCTTCTTAGCCTGCATACATCTGTGATGGCAGTTGTCTCATTAAATTCGTTGTTTTAGAAACCTTTTAGAATTTTTAGTTTATCCTAAAGTTTGATGCATGAAGATTTACTTTTCTCTTGCTAATAGTCCTTCATCTCTATTCGTGATACATATCAGGGCATTACCTATTTGAATAAAAGTGCAAAGCGTTTCCCTGATAAGAATTTATTTCCAAGTCTATGGTTTTTGTTTTACTTTTATTGGTTGTTGCACTGTCTTTGGCTGTTTGCATTCTCTGGTTATCTAGTTAAATATTGACCAAAATATCAATGCCCATGATCCGGTTAAGCAATTGGGTTTTTAATAGCTGACAAACCCCAGTTCCAATTCTGGTTCGGCCTCTTATGAACTGTGTGATCTCTTAACTTCACTCAATCTCAGCTTCCTTTATCAGAAAAGTGGCAATTAATACATACCTCACAGAGTTGTTGGGAGGATGAAATGAAATAATGTATATAACTTATGTACATGTAGCTTGGAACATAATGAGCACTTGATAAATGTTACTTGTTATTTAATATGAGTGTGTAGGCTCAGCGCCTGTAGCTCAAGCGGCTGAGGCACCAACCACATACACCAGAGCTGGTGGGTTCGAATACAGCCTGGGATTCGAACCCACCAAACAACAATGACAACTACAACCAAAAAAAAAAAAAATAGCCGGGCGTTGTCGCGGGCACCTGTGGTCCCAGCTACTTGGGAGGCTGAGGCAGGAGAATTGCTTAAGCCAATAGTTGGAGGTTGCTGTGAACTGTGATGCCACAGCACTCTACCCGGGGCGATAGCTTGAGGCTCTATCTCAAAAATAAATGAATAAATAAATAAGAGTGTGTACCAGGAGAAAAGTTGACTGATGTTAATATGTTTGACCAGTGACCTTGAAAATGTTCAGGAATTATAATTACTAATTTTCTAAGGCCCCACCGAAACTATGTTTTTCTAAGGCCCAGTTAAGAAATAATTACCTAGGGTGGCGCCTGTGGCTCAAAGAGTAGGGTGCTGGCCCCATATGCCAGAGGTGGTAGGTTCAAACCCAGCCCTGGCCAAAAATAAATAAATAATCACCTAATCTCTTGTCCATTTTTCCCTGTTCAGCCAAGGTTAAAGGAAAATTATACTATTCATTGTCTTTAGCCTAAATAGAATGCCCAGTGAAAAAAAAAAAGATTTGGGATCTTGAAAGTCAAGTGGACCTAGGTGCTCTGAGGTTAGTAATATTGCTGCCTTCTCTAAACTTGTGGGCCAGTATCAGAGCAACCTTACTCCTCAAATTATCTTTACCATTAGGCAAGGCCAAAGTCAGGACGGTAGTCTCAGAGAGAACATAATTATAATGGTCCCACACTTACTTTCAAAAGGGGTATTAGATGTAAACTGCTCATAATTGGTAATGTGATTAGTGAGTTATACAGTTGCAAGAGAATGAGAGGAAGAATTGAGTGTTGCAGCCAAAATACTGTATACCATCTATTTTGCTCAGAATTCCCCCCCCCCCTTTTTTTTGAGACACAGTCTCACTTTGTCCTCCTTGGTAGAGTGCCATAGCGTCATAGGTCACAGCAACCTCAAACTCTCTCAAGCAATCCTCTTGCTTCTGCCTCCCGCATAGCTGAAACTACAGGTGCCCACCACGTCGCCCCGCTAATTTTAGAGACAGGGTCTCAGTTTTGCCCAGACTGGTCTCTAACCCGAGTTCAAGCAATCCACCTGCCCTGGCCTCCCAGAGTGCTGGGATTACAGGTGTGAGCCACTGAGCCCGGCCTCAGAATTCCCTTTTCTTAAACTTGAAAACGTTATTTCACTCCAGCTTTTAAAAGCTTAGGATGTGCCAAGCTCTGTGTTTAGAACTGGAATTACAAATGTAAACGAGATAAACCCTGCTCTTTTGGCTCTGTACTCACTATGTGCTTTCTGGGGAAAACTGACAAAGGGTTGGTGTGATAGCACGCTAAGTACTGTGAGTGTTTGGGGGAATGCGAAGGGGAGGGAGAGGTACAGGGTCCTGTGACAGCAAATAGGATGGCCCAAGAACCCAGACTTGGTTAGACAAGCCTTTGCACAGAAAAACCTTCTTAATTGAAACCTGTGGTAGTTAGAAAAGGTGGTAGGTAGAACGTTTCAGTCAGAACATGATGTACAAATTGTAACCTTTCTTACCTAAACACATTTACCTGAAACATTGTTATTTAAGGGAGAATAAAGCAAAGTAAGTTTCTTTGGGACAGATTTAGAATTTAGAAAGTTCCATAATGATTAAGGGGGAAAAGAAATGATTTATACAGTAACATACATCAGAGCTGTGATCAAAGCAACTTAATGCTGTTTAAGCACAGCCATCTTTTGGGTGAGGCATAAGAATGAACCAGCAAGGCTTTAAAATAGTATTTGAATTAGTGAACCATTTTCCTGTTAATTTCTGCTGCATTATTTTGGGGATGATAGTTGGTTTCAGAATGGGAAATATATTTAAGAATGCAGCAGGATTTTTTTGAAAAAAAACTACTTACTAAAGCAACAACAGTAGAACCTCTGTAAGTGGACCACCAAGGGGACTGTAACAAATTGGTCCACATATGGAGGTGATCAGCATAAGGAACTAGGCCTGCTTTACTGTAGGTGAAGTACATAGGAGGCATATCCAGTCTAGGAAAGTTAGATGAACTTGAGAGCATCAAGGTAGGGAGGCAGTATCTCTTGAACATTGGGCAGTCTTTCTTCCAGGAATCCCTGAATTGTTTGACTGTATCTTTAATGGGAAGAAGCTCGAAGAGTCAAGGGGTAGACCCATCCAATGAATGTTGAACAGAACTTGGCTTTCACCAATTGATGGATTAGCTCTGAGGTGCCTCTTGAGTTCTGATCTTAGTTTTCTTGTTAAATGATGGAGTCACTTTATTCAAGGATGGGCTTAAATTTGATCAAAGTAGAATTTTAAGAACTTAGGCAAATTATAATTGTTCCAGGAGGTCGGTTTCATTCCTCCAAATGTGTTCCAAATTTTTGTGATTCAGACCAAGTAATTTCAAGCAGTTAATCTGCAGGATGGTGACTGTGGAAGCCAGAATGTGCTAAGGAGTGTGTAACAACTCACCTGGAGCATTGGGCCCACACTTGGCCATCAGTGAGTTAATGACAGCAACAAAAAAGCAAATTTCCGAAAGATTCCCAAGGTATTCAAATCAAGCCAACTCTGCCTGAACGATACTGCTGTTTAGAAACTGCCATCTTTACACGTGATCTTTGTGCTTTCCTGTGTATACTGTTGAAAGGCAGGGTCAACGGGTCAGGCACAAACACCGAGAAAGTCTTACCTTTTGACAACAATGGTGATGAAAGTGCTTTTTAAGAAGTGATGCCACTGCTTTTCTGATATTTCTGTCTTCTGTTTTAGTGCGTAAATTCACGGAGAAACATGAATGGGTGACAGCAGAGAATGGTGTTGGGACAGTGGGAATCAGCAATTTTGCACAGGTATTGGATTGTCTTGAAATAATTTGTGAGAGTTCTCAGACAGTGTGGATTGTCTCTACCCGTTAATCTGTTTAATCTGCACTCTGAGCCCCTCAAAGGCCCTCAGAAGAAAATAAATCAGAAGTGAAACAAGTAAACCTCATTTAGTTAGAGCATTATGTGGTCGTGTAAGAGATGTTGAAAGGTTAATACTTAAGGCAGGAAATATGCCTTATTCAAGAGACAATTTTTCATACTGGGCAGTTAAGGAAAGAAGAGCAAGATCCAGGGCTGCCATGCCGTGTGGCCAGCATTTTGTGGGTACAGTGACATGTGGGTGACAGGGAGACATGAAGAAGGAAATCCTAAATAGACCCGATTGCACAAACAGAAGCCATTCGCCTATCTGTTCCCTATTAATTCCCTATCTCCACTGATGCCATATTGAGATGTTCGTAAGAAAATGAGAAGCCAAATGGTAGCATGGGTTAGTCATTTTCACCTGGATGTCATTTGTATTGGGTGAGGCGGGAGGGGAAAAGGGATATTAACTGATGGGAGTACAGTCATGTGTCACTTAACACCAGGGATGTGTCCTGAGAAGTGCCTCACTGGCTGATGTTGTCCTTGTGCAGACATCAGAGTGTGCTTACACAAACCTAGTGTGGCCTGCTGCTCCAAGAATATAGGCTGTTCAGCATGTCTCTGTCCTCAATACTGTAGACCAGTGGTTCTCAACCTTCCTAATGCCACAGTGTATTTTCATTGTTAAAAAGGGGGTGCGACCCACAGGTTGAGAACCGCTGCTGTAGGCGTAACACAGTGGTTGCTGAATATCTGTGTATTTAAACACATCTAAACATAGACTAGGAATGGTAAAGATGTGATACAGGCTGAGCATCCATACGCCAAAACTCTGAAATGCTTTAAAATCTAAAGTTTTTTAAGCACAGACATGATGCTCAAAGGAAATGCTCATTGGAGCTTTTCAGATTTTAGAGTTTTGGATTAGGGATGCTTAGCTAGTTCAGTATAGTGCAAATATCTCAAAATCTGAAATGTTTCTGGTCCCAGGCATTTTGGATAAGGGATATTCAATCTGTAATATAACCTTATGAGACCACTGTCATATAGTTAATCTGCTGTTGAACAAAACATTATGCAGTGTGTGGCTGTGTACACAATTCCTCAGAAACGCTGGCTTCTGGGGTATTGACAATCTCTGACAGTTGTCTCTTCGTTGGCATATCTGTGGACCTATGATGAGGTGCAGAACAAGGTATTTTGTGGAATATTGTGTAAGGTGTTGTGCTTACTTCCTATAGTTTATCTTTGAAGGGAATCCTACCTGGAGATGACATACACACATTACATGGTAGATGTCACCTGAGGGATATAAAGGGCTATAAATTCATTCATCTGATAAACCAGTTCTGTCTGGAGTCAAGATCTTTGGGGACAGTAAGGCATGGGGACTGTGATGTGCAGAATGAGTAGGATTTCAGCCCAGGCAGTAGGGGTAATGGTCTAAGTAGAACTGCAGAGGTAGAAAGGTACCAAGTATGTTTGGGTGCAGAATAGCTGGTTACCTCGTTTGGGGCGCATGGTTTGTGACAGGGAGCACCATGGGTTATAGGCCAGATGTGGCTGGCAGCCTGTTTCTTGCAGCTTCTGAGTTAAGAATAGTTTTTTCATTTGTAAAGGGTTGTAAGGAAAACAGGTGACTGTGGCTCATTAAGTATAAAATATATAGTATTAATTATAGGGGATTCAGTGTTTAGTTCGTTCCCATTTACTGGGGAGTCTAATTTCACATCCTACAGGCTCTTGGTTTTGTTTTGTTTTGTTTAGGAAGCTTTGGGAGATGTTGTTTACTGTAGTCTACCTGAAGTTGGGACAAAATTAAACAAACAAGGTGAGTGTTTTTCTCATCGTAGAACGTCATGATTCATGCCATGATTTTTCTTTACCTAGTCTTTACTTTCGATAATAACTTACCTGCATTGAGTGCGGTGGCTCACACCTGTAATCCTAGCACTTTGGGACGCCAAGGTGGATGGATTGTCTGAGCTCAGGAGTTCGAGACCAGCCTGAGCAAAGCAAGACGGCCATCTCTACTAAAAATAGAAAAAACTAGCCAGGTGTTGTGGGTGCCTGTAGTCCCAGCTACTCAGGAGGCTGAGATAAGAGAATGACGTAAGCCCAGTTGTTTGTGGTTGCTGTGAGGTATGACGCCATGGTACTCTACCAAGAGAGAATGAGGGAGACTCTGTTTCCAAAAAAAAAAAAAAAACTTATCTGCACCCAGGATCAACTAGAGTGCTTTTGATGTATATAACAGAATATTATTATTATTGTTGTTGTTGCAGTTTTGAGCTGGGTTTGAACCCACCACCTCCGGTATATGGGGCTGGTGCCCTACTCCTTGAGCCACAGGCACCGTCCTATAACAGAATATTCAAATGAAAGTATTAATAGTTTAATAATGGGAAGTCATTATCTCATAAAGGCAGTCCAGAGATAGGTGGATATAGGTTTAACAAGGATACTTCTGTTTGTACTTTTTCTGCCTCAGTGAGGTCACGAGATGGTGACAAAATCTGTAGTCATCACATTCTCAAATGACAATATCCAAAAGTGGCGGGGGGCAGGCTCTTTTGTCTCTCTGTTGAGAAGGAACATGTCACCCACCAATCTCTTGGCCCATGTTTTCTTACATCCCAGTAGCAGGTTTGGGCTGTACTGCCCTCCCAGCTATACGGGATGGTGGAAGGAGAACAAGGAGCATTTTCAGACTTTGTAATGGAAGGTAGGAAGTAGGGAAAAATGGCTCTTAACACCTCCCTGCTCACTGTAAGACACTGAGTTCTATTAAGTTTAAAAAGTAAAACTTGCTGTTTTTTTGGAGGAGTAGACAGTATCCAGAATCAATACAGGTTCAGGAATCAGAACCTGGTCTTAAATCCCAGCCCTGTAATATATCATTTGTGTGACTTCGGGGTAGTTTCTTAGTTTTGGTATTATCTGTAAATTAGGAAACCTGCCTCACAGAATTGTTGTAAGGATTAAATAAGCATAATGTGCAGCATGAGACAAGTTCCTGAAGGCTGGGCACAGTGGCTGACATCTGTAATCCTAGCATAGCGCCTGGAAGTTTTTAAAGAGGGGGTCTCGCTCTTGCTCGGATTGGTCTTGAACTCATGAGTTTAGGCAATCCACCCGCCTCGGCCTCCCAAGTGCTGGGATTACAGGCATGAGCCACCTCGCCTGGCCTAAGTGTTTTATTTACAGTATATCCACTATGCCACTTTCAAGCAGATTATAAGTTTTTGAATATCTCTTTATAGCAAGTTAGAAGCATGACCGTTTTTGTGCTTAATATCCTTAAATTAATGAATGTCCTTTTAAAATTCTGGTAAAGTTTTTTTTATTAGCTGTATGAAGTCTACATACCAATTAAATGCCTAGATCTTAAGTGTACAATTCAATGAGCTTTGAAATATGTATATATCTGGGTAAACCTTCACAATCAAAACTCTTCAATAGGCAGTCTCTTCTCTGATTTCTACATTATAGGTTAATATTGCCTATTCTTTAAATAGAATTACCAATTTCAACATAGGATTTTGAAGGGACACAAAACGTTCAGTCCATAACTGGTATGGTATTTTATACATCTCATTAGGTTAAATAGCTTGATATTGTTCAAACTGTATCTTTACTGATTTTTTAAAAAAACTCTCCTATTGTGATTAGATTGGTCAGATTTTCCTTTTTGTTTTTGCATCATATTTTTCATAGCTCTTTTATTAGGTTGATAGACTTTTAAGATTCTTAGTTTTGGTGATGAATTGAGCCTTTTATTGTTTTAAAATATCCCTTTTGTCTCTGGCAGTTGTCCTTGTCTTGACGTCTACTTTGATGTAAATGTCGCTATGCCAGCTTTTATATTTCCTTTTTTTTTTTTGGTGATGTTGGATCTTGCTCTGTTCCAGGCAGTGCAGTGGCGTTATCACAGGTCACTGCAACCTCAAACTCCTGGGCTTATTAATGCCTCAGCCTCCCAAGTAGCTGAGACTGCATGAGACTAGAGATGTGTAACACCCTACCTGGCTGATTTTTTTTCTATTTTTGGTAGAGATTAGGTCTTGATTTTGCTTAGGCTAGTCTTAAACATCCTGACCGCAAGCAATCCTCCTGCCTTGGCTTCCTGGAGCTCTAGGAATACAAGTATGAGCCACCACCCCTGGCCTGGAGTTCTTTTTGGTCATTATTTCTTCAAAATGTTTTTTCCTACTTTGTTCTCTTTTTCTTCTGTTGTCCAATTACACGTTTGTCTGATCACTTGATACTGTCCCGCAGGCCCCTGAGGCTTTTACCTTTTCAGTCTTTCGTTTGTTGGTCATTTCTTCTGCATCTCTGATCTGTGCTGTCCACTGAATTTTTTATTTTAGATACTATAGTTTCTAGTTCTAAAATGTCCATTTTTGACATTCCCATTTCTTTCCAAGAATTTCTCCCACGTGTTCATTCATTATGATGATTTTTTTTCTTTAGGTCTTTGAACACGTTTATAATAGCTACTTTAAGTTTCTTTACTATTTCAGCATATGGGTCACTTTAGGATCTGTTTGTGCCTTTATCTCTTTACCATGGCTTTCTTTCTTTTTTCTTTTTTTTTAGAATTTCAACCCTCAATTTCCAGCCACTCCGGCAGCCCCACACTTTATTCTCTGACCTCTCAAGCAAATAAGACTATGGTTTTCTACTTGTACTCTAGTCACCCTGTGCTCTTTGGATGGGGCAGTGTTTTTAGGGGACAAATTGTATAAATAGAGACCTCATCCAGTTTCGTTCTCATCTTCCAGCAATTGACCACTGCCCCCCAATTACTCTATGAAGCCTTTCATATTCAGCATGAACATCCCAAATCTGAAATGCACCTTAATCCTAAATTTTGAGCACCAACATGATATTAAAGGAAATGCTCGTTGAAGCATTTTGGATTTGGGATGCTCAGCCAGTAAACACAATGCAAATATAGTAGAACCCTCTGTTAAGTTGACCATCCAAGGGACTGTAACAAACTGGTCAACAGACAGGTGCTCATCATAAGAAGGAGGTCAACATCAGGAACTAGGCCTGTACTGATAGGAACATATGGTGCATATCTGGTCTATAAAATTAGGTCAACTTAAGGAGGTACCTCGGTTAGTATAGGGAGGTGGTCAACAATGGAGGTTCTACTGTGTTCCAAACTTAAAAAAAAAAAATTCTCAAAACATTCAGGTTCCCAAGCATTTTGGGTAAGGGATACTTAACCTATAATTGTTGTTTATGTTGAGTTCAAAGTTTATAA